ATCCGATACTTCTCGTGTGCTGGTGTGCGGATTTTCTAAAATTGCTTCTCTCACTCGATTAATAGTTTCCTCCGGGCGACGATAAATATTTCTTGCGCGTGTTGACGCGTGTAACGTGCCATGCTGGACAAGGCGTGTAAATACCGTATGGAAAAACCCGTGTGCCGGATGCCGCTTTTCAGGAAAGCGCTCGGCGTACAAAATTGCGGCCTGCCTTCCATTTTTACGACATTCACCGTAGATTAATACCATATTGGCCAATTCTTCGTTAGTATAACGAGGACGCTCCATCTTTACCGCGTTTTCAATCCTCGCGTTGTCACGCAAGGAAAAAATAACGTCGGATCAGACGACGATAGTATTTTGTCTGTCCATGGTCCAATTATAGAGTGTCCAATTTTAATTCGGCACACAGGTTTTTCTATACAATATTTACTGCCCGTGTGCCGAATTAAAATTGGACACTCTATAATTGGACCATGGACAGACAAAATACTATATATGCAGATAGGTTACTACGCAGCGTGCCCCTGATGCCGGCAGACGCGCAACCCGTCATACCGCTCTGTATCGTCTTGATACACCCTGTACATGTACTGTTATGTAGCCCAGAATTTTAACAACTGTTTTTGAATATGTAACTAAATTAAGATTTGTTTTGAGGACTGTCGAACCTGGAAATAGGTCACGTACTTGTTCGCGATTCATTATCGTTACTGCGGAGCCACTATCAACTTCGAAACGAATTTGCTTTCCATTTACCGCGAGCGTACAAAAACTTATCTCTTTGCTCTGCATGTTCTAATTGTAAGACTTCGTCCAGATTGTTTGCCGACTCCTTCTTTTTGAAACATACTTTGGCAAGGTGTCCGGATCCTCCACAGCCCAAGCAGCGTACATTCCGATTTAACGTACATTTGGACGCATAGTGTGCTTTGCCGCATCTGAAACATTTAACATTTTCAATCTCCCCTTTGTTCGCATTTGGACGAGCTGAATTATTATTATTTGATTTCCAAGAATTTGTAAACTCGAGTTTCTTCTTATTCGCTTGTTTATTTTTGTATTTGTCCTGAGGCTTCTTCGTTGACTTCTTGCCCGCCTGTAAATATTCCACGCCTGCTGCTGAACTTGTAGCGCCGTTTTGTAACGATGTAGCACCTTGCTCCGAGAGCTCCATCGTGGTGGCTATATGTAAGGCTTCCTCGTTAGCTCCCTCTTTTCGAGAAGTCGAGTTTGAATTTTCTTACTTGAAAGTCCAAAAACCATTTGGTTCCTTAGTGCCGTTTTCAAATAATTTCCAAATTTGCAATGTAAGCTTAATTTGTGTAAGGTAGCTGCGAATTGTTGAACTGATTCGCCCTCTGCTTGTCGCCGTTGGTGAAATTTGAAATTTTCCGCAATCTCTAATGGTGCTGGATCGTAAAATTCTTCCAACTTGGCTGTTAATGTCTCGTATGCTTGCGAGAATGGATCTTCCGGGTCTAATCGGTCACACAAAATATCGAAAGCACTCGGTCCCATGTAATGCAGCAAATATGGTACACGAGTATTTCCCTCGATCCGAAAAATTTTGAACGCACCTTGTAATCGTTGTAACCACCGTCGCCACGTTGTAATTTCAGGATTGAAATTTTCAATCGTGAAAGAATTTGGGATTGCTATTCCCTGTCCTCTCTCTAGTTCTTGGATCGTATCGGTTGTAGAACCACTGGCGGGCATTTTCTTGAGGATTGTTCACAGCAAACGCTGTTCTGCCTTCACAAGTATGCCCGTAGTTCGTATAACTGCCTTGCCACGTTATGTCGTGCCACGTTGTAGGAAAAAAAATTTTCCTTCTTAGCCAAAATTTGTAAGCCAAATATCCGTCCTCGTCGCCAATTCTGTTAGGTTCGAGAGATGTGAAGGCTCCAATTTGACCATATAGATAGACACTACTTTATTCACTATATTTAATACAAAGTTATTCCGAACGATCTGTACTCGACGGCGGTCCGTGAGAGAGAGCGTGACTCGCACGTGTGCTTCGCCCTCGTCGCTACACCTGTCGCCGTGTCCGACGATAGCGCCGTGCAAATAAATACGGAAAAGTGAGGCCCGCGAATTTCTAATACCCGCGGTCCCAACAGACACAAATTGGCAGTGTTATACAGATAATTATTTTATCTTTAATTGTTTAATAGCAAACAAATATGAAATTGTTGTGAATGTCCACATGTCACGTCACACTGTATTCATACACAACTGTATTCATTAGATGCGACTGTGTTCATTATGTTTCTCTATTATCGATTTGACAAATGCCAGTTAGTCTTTCTATCACCGCCGATACATACGCGAAATATATTTATTTCAAATTTATAGAAGTATCCCTAGCCTTGTCCTTATTTGCCTCGACATACTGGGTTTACTTCAGTGGCGACGAGGATTTGGAATTAGAATTCGCGCGTGAAAAGAAAACAGTGCAGTGAGTACAATAGATTTCGTCATCTCAACCCAACCTCATCAAATGGAGGAATTCGCCAAAGCTCTGCTTGAGTCGCAAAGGCTCATGCAAGAAAAGATGCTCGAACAGCAACAAATCATCGTACAACTTCTTCAGCGTCAGCAACCTGGCGTCGGAGGTGAGCAGCAACTCAACCTTCCCGGCGACTCCAGTTCTCGCAGGATCAAAGATCTGGCCGATTCAATGCTCCCATTCGAGTACAACCCAGACGAAAACGCAGTCTTTGAGCAGTACTATGCTCGATACAAATCAATCTTTGAGGTCGAAAATAATGATCTCACCGACACTGCAAAAATCCGATTGCTCCTCACAAAATTCAGCACTCCGGATTTTCAGCGATACGCAGATTCGATCCTACCAAAAGAGACACATGAAATCTCTTTTACTGACACTATTAAATCGCTAAAAAAGCTTTTTGGACACCGACAGACAAAATTTAGCCTTCGTCACAAAGTTTTCAGCCTTCATAAGGAAGACAATGAGGACTACAGCCAGTATGCAGCTCGCATTAATAAACACGCCGAAAAATTTGACATCACCAGCTGCACCGCCGATGACTTCAAAGTTTTGCTTTTTGTCAGTGGTCTGAAAAGCCCACAAGAGTCACGCGTTCTCGAGAAACTTCTGACAAAAGTCGAGCACCAATACGTGCAATTCGAAGCGCTCACCGACCAAGCTCAGATCGCTGCTTTCGTAAAACTCCAGCTTGACGACCTGGTCAACGAGTGCCATCGCATGCGAAGCCTGGAGAAGGATAAAGAGACCGTTGTTGTATCATCTTCAGGATCAGAAGTCCACGCAGTTCGTCAGGGCTACAACAAACAAAAGCAGTTTCCCAACAAGAGTTCGTCTCATTGTCAGTTGAATTCACAATCGTCATCGAGTTTCCACTCCAATCAGGGACCTTGGAAACCGAAATGTAAATTCTGCGATGGCGTTCACTGGCACATCAATTGCCCATTCAAAGACAAGGAGTGCTCCGATTGCCACCAGACCGGTCACAAGCCTGGTTTCTGCGAAAAAGCCCGAATTTACATCAAGAAACTCCAGCAGAAACGCTTGCGAAATCTCTCTGACCCAACAATGAATCATCAGACTTATCAGGTCTCAGACATCAACTCAGTCGACATTCAGCGAAAATTCATTGAGCCGGACGTCAACGGCAAGAAACTTAAGCTGCAGTTCGACACAGCATCAGACATCACGATAATCTCAAAATCGAATTGGGCTCATCTCGGAAGACCGACGCTTCAACCAGTTACAAAAGCAACCAAAAGTGCATCGGGAGACTCGGTCCCACTCTTCGGACTTTTCCCGTGCGTCGTCAAATTCAAAGGTCGTGAGGAGTTCACCGAATGCTACGTTTCATCGCGTAATCTCAACTTGTTCGGAAATGACCGGATCAATAAGTTTGACCTTTGCGACACACCAATCAACCGAATCTGCAACGCAGTTCAAGTCGACGGAAGCAACAATCTCACCGCCGAGGTTATCAAGAAGTTTCCAATTCTCTTCTCAGCTGGACTTGGCCGATGCAACACGACAAAAGCGTCCCTCGTGCTGAAAGAACAGGTGAAACCCAAATTCTGCAAACCCCGAACAGTTCCATTCGCAGCTCAGAACCAAGTCGCAACAGAACTTCAGCGACTCCAGCATTTGAAAATACTCACCCCGTGCAAATACTCCGAGTGGGCAGCGCCAATTGTCGTTGTCAAGAAGAAAAACGGTAAACTACGCATCTGTGCAGACTACTTGACGGGCCTCAACGACAGCCTCGAGTCTGACAAACATCCGTTACCAACTCCAGACAAAATTTTTATGCATCTGGCCGGCAAGAAAACCTTCAGCAAAATTGACTTGTCAGACGCCTTCTGGCAAGTTGAACTCGACGACGCCGACGGCTCAAAAAAGTTGATGACAATCAACACGCATCTCGATTTATTCACAGTCAACCGACTTCAGCAGGGCGTTAAAACAGCTCCAGCAATTTTCCAGCGTCTCATCGACACCACTCTCAGCGGTACCAATACATTCGGTTTCATTGATGACATGATTACAGCCGGAATCGACGAAACAGATCACAAAAGGCAACTCTTCAAGACACTTCAACGACTTCAAGACGCAGGATTCAGACTTCAGGCCGAGAAATGCGAATTCGGAAAATCCTCCGTCGAGTTTTGCGGTCATATTGTCGACAACAAAGGAATCCGACCACATCCTGACAAGCTGCAGCAAATTCAGGACCTGCCAAGACCTCAAGACGTCTCGCAACTTCGATCTTTCATCGGCGCGGTCAACTACTACGGAAAATTCATCAAGAGCATGAAAGAGCTACGCGGACAACCTCCTTTGCAAAAACACGAAATTTGAGTGGAAGGAGGAACACGAAAACGCTTTTATCGAGCTCAAAAGGATCCTCGCTTCAGATCTCGTCTTGACTCACTACGACCCGAAGAAGAAGTTTGTACTGGCATCCGACGCATCAGCATATGGAATGGGAGCGACTCTTATGCATCGGTTTCACGACGGAAGTCTTCACCCGATAATGTGCTGGTCGGGTACGTTCAACGAAGCTGAAAAGGGCTACTCGCAAATCGACAAGGAAGCGCGAGCGTTCATCTTCGCTCTCAAGAAGGCTCACGTGTACATCGCAAACCGACATTTCACTGCTCAGATCGATCACAAGCCGTTACTGCGAATCTTCGGATCAAAACAAGGCATCCCGGCTCACTCAGCGGCTCGACTCCAGCGATTTGCCATTGTCGCTCAAGCCTACGATTTCGACATTCATTACGTGGACACTGACAGCTTCGGATACGCCGATGTCCTCTCGCGACTCATATCAAATCAAAACAAATCAAACGAAGACATGGTAATCGCTTCAGTCCAGCTTCAAGAGGAGAAGGACGTCGTCTACAGTTTCGCCATCGAAACGGTCAAAGGCCTTCCAGTCACCTTCAAGGACATCCAGCGAGGAACAAAGGACTGCCCAGTTCTCACCGCAGTCTACAATTTCATCGAGAAAGGAAATTGGCCACAAAAACGACATCAAATCCGAAATCACCAAGTGGAAGGTTTCTTTTTGATTCGCGACAACCTCTCAGTGTCAAATGATGTCATTTTCTACGGCGAACGAGTCGTTGTACCCGAAATTCACCGTCAACGAGTTCTCGAGCATCTTCACCAAGGCCACCCAGGCGAGTGTCGATCCAAATTGCTCGCCAGCAGCAAATGTTTCTGGCCCGGCATCACCAAAGACATCGAGCGCTTCGTCCGCACCTGCGAGAAGTGCGCAACAGTCTCCAAAGCTCCGATCAAGTGCAGCTTGCAGCCCTGGCCAGTGCCCGAAAAACCTTGGTCGAGAATTCATGCAGACTATGCTGGGCCCATAGACGGATTCTCATTTCTGGTCATCGTCGATGCTTTCAGCAAGTGGTCAGAAATCTTCAAAACGAAATCGACAACAGCCACAACGACAATTGAATTCTTCAAGAATGTTTTCGCTCAACATGGCTTGCCAGACACCATTGTAACCGACAATGGCCAGCAGTTTATCTCCACTGAGTTCAAGGACTTCTGCAATTCCAACGGCATTCAACACTTGACTTCATCGCCGTATCATCCACAATCGGAAGGCCAGGGAGAAAAATTCGTCGGCCTATTTAAGACAGGCTACAAGAAAGCAACAGGAAACGTTGACCAAAAAAATTCGAGAATTTCTCTTCTCCTACCGATTTACGCCTTCATACAATCTCGGCAACAAATCTCCAGCAGAGCTCCTCAACAGTCGCAGAATGAAGACCACGCTGGATCTCCTTAAACCACAACAGCCATGTTGGACCGACGTCAACTCACAGATGCAACATCAGTTCAACAATCATCACGGAGCCAAGTGGAAGCAGTTTCTGCCGGGTGACCACGTCTATTACCAGCTCCACTCTTCAACGGACAAGTGGCAATGGACTCCTGCTACAATCATCGAAAAAGTTGGAAAGGTCAACTACAACGTACGTCTTGACTTGTCAAGCAACCAGAGAGTCATTAAAGCTCACGCAAACCAGCTAAAAACTCGTTACACCAAAAACGAGTTCAATGACACCTTCGAAATCCCCGATTGGCCTGAAACAACTACTCTGACAGGCGAAGCCGAGCCTATCATCATTCAACAACCTCAACAGGACATCAACATCAATCAACCGCCGAAGCTTGATGAATCCAACTATGAAGATGCAGTTGAAGACATCGAAGAACCAGTAGTTACTTCGGCAGTCGACTAGGAAGATTTTCAACCCCGACGATCAGACCGATCGACCAAAGGAATTCCCCCCGACCGTTACCAAGCATCTTAAGAGGGGAGGAATGTTGTGAATGTCCACATGTCACGTCACACTGTATTCATACACAACTGTATTCATTAGATGCGACTGTGTTCATTATGTTTCTCTATTATCGATTTGACAAATGCCAGTTAGTTTTTCTATCACCGCCGACACATACGCGAAATATATTTATTTCATATTTATAGAAGTACCCCTAGCCTTGTCTTTATTTGCCTCGACATACAGGGTTTACTTCAGAAATGATTTACTATGTTACACAGTGTTGTCCGTATATGTTGCTAGAAAGTTCCCTTTAGCACCAAAACCCTTATAAATAAAAATAATAAATAATCGATCAATCGATAGCCTATATTCGATAATCGATTAATTAAAATCGGCCGTCGCTAAGTAATCGATTAAAGAACTAATCGATTACTATCTCTCCGATTCCCATCCCTAGTCGATGCTATGAACTGTGACATAGCGGAATAGCTGCCGCGTGCCAGCTCCTCGCCGCCGTCCCAAGGCGCGGTGTCGGTCCGCCCGGGAAAAGAGAATCCGCGCGAGGTCCGTAGGGAAACCTCCCGGGGTCGCACCAGAACGTTTTTTTGGCATATCCGCTTATCCGTAAACTTTTGTCTTTTTTTTCTTGTATCGCGTAATCGTCCGAGCGCCACCGCGCCATCCTGACAGTCGAGGGAGCGGACCGACGGAGGAGCCGAGAGGCTGAGACGGGGAGAAGGAGAGCCGAGGGGCGAGAGCGCGAGGATGCCGGCGAACGGCGGCCGCGGAGAAGCCGAGGGGCCGAGACGAGAGGAGGGCGAGTCGAGGGGCGAGGGCGCGTGGCGACGACGGACGACAAGCGCCGAGGGGCCGAGCCGCCCTGAGACCTGGGGCCCGAATACGCGGAGCCGCGCCCGAGAGGCGAGGGACGGAAGGCGGGGCCAGGCGGAGAACCGCGGGCGGATGGCCACCGAATCCGGAGAGGACCGGCGTGATCGGAGGGTCGGACCGCCGGGAAAGAGTGGCCTTCACTTGGACACAGTACGAGTGGACACTGTGCAAATGGACACGGTGCAAATAGACACGGAATATTGCACACGGTTCATTTGGACACAGAAATTTTGGACACAGAAAAGTTTCACATCGCAATGTTGAACACGGCGCAAATGGACACAGTTCTTTT